GAGTGATACAAGTTTGGTTGTCACTTACTTGTGAAGCGAGCTGTGCAGTCCGCGTGAAGGAGAAGGAAAGCGGCCATAGCCGCGGGGTATTACCACGGAGTACCGAGGAGGGAGAAACCGGACAGAGAGAGAGAGACCGAGAGGAGAGAGAAAGCGGCCATAGCCGAAGGGAGGAAGAAGAAGAAGAAGTGAAAAAAAAAAAAAAAAAGAGAAGAAGAAGACAGCGGGTGAAAGGAGGCGAGGAAGGTGAAGAAGAAGAAGAGGGTTGGCGAGGAAGAAGAGCCGGCAGCCATAGCTGACCGGAGAGTTGACCGGAGGTGTTGACCGGCGATTACCGGAGTGGACCGGAGGTTGTAGCAGCGTTGATCAAGGCCGTTGACCAAGACTTTGACCAAGCTGGAGTTGGTAACATCTCGCCAAGCCCTCAGCCTATCCCTTGCCCTATGGATGTGCACACACCCCTTGGTACTTGCCGAGTCAAGTCAGCCTGTCTATTCTTTCTGCATCGTCTCTTCTGTCCTAGGTGATAGTACTCTGTGGATGAAGGATAGGCCTGGTTGACCACTTTCCTACCGGATCTAATAGGGCTGAGACTGTGGCAGATCCAACGGTCCAGGGGGGCATAACCCTCCCAAGGACCGGTGCTGACCGGCTGGACACGGTTGGTATGGCACAGTGGGCCTGAAAGACTGAGTTGCGGGCTGAAACAACAGGCAGTCTAAGTGTTGAGGGCCTAGTTGACCCGAACCCCTGTCAGACTAAGTAAGGCTAAAGACTGTGTCTGACGACTCGACTGTCCTGGAGGTCAAACCCTCCCAAGGACCGGTACTGATCGGCGGGCTGCTCGGTGTGGCACGGTAGGCCTGAAAACCTGAGCTGTGGGCGGTGCGACAGGTAAAGACCTGCTGATCTCGTCGTCCTGTCTGCAACGTTAAAGAATTCTTGTGGAGTTTGGGGGATCTCCTTAAAAGGCCTCCTGATCAGCAACAGGTCTAGTAGTGACAACCATAGTGTAGGTCTAGGCTAGAGACCATAGTTGACAGGATCCTTGTCCGGATTCTGTGAGTTCTTAGATTGAGTCTAGAGGTTTGTTGTCAGGGGTCAGAGTCTACGTGGTGAGGGTTGGAACCTCTAATTCAGTTGTGCACTTTTCACCATGGTTGAGACCCGTAGTGGGTTAGACACTAGCCCCTACACCAAGGAGCAGCAAGAGAAGGTGGCCGCCTTAGTCAAAGAGAACAGGGAGAGGAAAGAGCGTGAGAAGCAAGCAAAGTTGAAGGCAATTGCAGACGAACAGGTGGCGAAGATGAAGGGAATAGAGGAGGAGATGGAGAAAAAGAAGAAGGCTGTTGAAGAAGAAGCGGCAGTAGAAGAAGAAAAAGAAAGAATGAGGATTGAAAGCAGAGAAGGGAGTAGTGACACGAAGAGGGACACAGACGCTGAGATTGAGAAGAAGATCAGCGAGTGGTTGCTAATTTATCGTTGGGAGAAGATGAGGAGGCGGAGTCGTATGTGACTGAGGATGGGAAGGTGGCACTGGCCGCTGAGCTGGCAGCCATGGCGGACCCTATGGAACGAAGAGGGAGGGAAGACGAGCAGAAGCTACAATGGAAGTTGAGAATGAAGAGGGAGAAGAGGAGGAGGCGAGAAGAAGTGAATAAAATGACCGCAGCCGTGGCACAGGTGCAGGAATGCAGAAAGGAAGTATTGGCCCAGCCTGATGACAAGGCCAAGTGGGACAAGATACTGGGTTACCTGGACGTGTTGAGCAAGGCCTGGATGGAGGAGCGCCAGGCAAGTTGGAGCCAGGATGTAGCCTTGAGTGCCATGCGGTCAGCGTTTAAGGAGTTTGCGCGCGAGATCGTCACCCACATTGGGGGCGAAGTAAAGCAATTAAGGGACAACGTAGGGAAGTCCTGTGAAGGCACCATTGAAGGTGCCAAAGCCATAGCCGCTGTAGAGGGCGACGCCAAACCTCGCAAGGACCCAGTCAAGCTCAAATTCCCAGATGCTTATGGAGGGAAGAAGGAGGAAAACTTTGACAACTGGGAAGCCAGTGTCAATAGTTATATTTATCTACAACATATCCTGACAGATGAGAAAGTCCTCGTGGCCTTCCAGGCCCTCAAGGATGAAGCGGCTAGTTTCGCCAGGTCTCTTGCGCGCGCAGCCGGTTGTGAAAATAACCTGGTTGCTTACTCTAAAGTTACCCCCCTTCCTCAATTCCTCAAGCTCCTGAAGGAGCGATTTGCAGACCCAACGAGAGGCATTCGTGCCTCTGACAAGCTACAATCAATCCACTCACGACAGTGGAGGAGTGCAAGGGCACTCAAGGGAACCATGGACGACCTGGTGGCCGTCCCAGACCATGGGGTCACTGAGACCCAGTTGGTCCAGTTATTCTATCGTGCCATACCAGAGGCCCTGCGTGGGCATTTCTTTGATAAGTCTCAACAGGCCGGCATCATGTATGATGCATTAAGTAGAGAAGTCGTCCTAT